ATAGACCTCCTATTAAGCTAACTCTTGTGTACGGTCTGTGGGAATCTCCAAATATCCCACATTTTATGAAAGATGTGAGTCGTAGAAGTGTAATATAGAAATTGGATGACTGGGAAATATGCACAGTGAGTCTAGTTACAGTTATATTGATGCAGCTTAAGCCAAAACAATGTAATATATATACAGAAATTGAGCTTGGGTCCTTCAAGCTCGGGTCCTCTACCAGAGGCCTGGGAGCTGTAGGGTCCTTACAGACAATATCTGATCACATTTTAAGTTGGCTTATTTGGAAAAGAACAAACAAGGCAGACATGTGATTACCCATTTGAGAAGGTAATGCAGTATTTGGACTGGCGATGTCTCTTCTTCCAACAGACAAGTTAATGAAGGCCGGCTCAAAGAGACCCTGCTCTCTAGTTTTCACACATACAATCTTAAGTATGGGCCAAGCGACGGGAAATAACACTGCTAACATGCCAGTGCGGAACATTTCACTTTAAAGCCAGATATACAGTCTTTATGTGGGTGTTTATGCCCCTGATACCTTTACCCGTTTATCTGTTACCGTTACTGTGGCTGATGCTGGTGGTATTAATCTACAGCCTCGAGTAGTAGTAGTACGTTGTATTTGGACTTTTTAAAATAACAATTACAGACAGTTTTCTGTCTTAACATAAGAACTAATTAATTTGTTTACCCCGCCCGTGCGGATTTTTTGACCCTGAATAACACTCTTGCTATCTTCCGGGTTGGACCTGTGAGTCATTTTCATACCGCCTACTTTTCCATCACAGGCCAATCAAATCCTTGTATGTTACCTTCAAGTACTGTGAAAAATGTTTGCAATAATGACGAAGCTTACATGATAACGAAGACGGTACTGATACATATTTTCTCAAACATAATGCAGCCTTCAGTTGCCAGCATTAGTTACGACATATTATTTACTGACTTAAACACAACATGTCACTTATTCAGTGATCAAGCGGACACGACCCCGCCGCACTGAAAGTCTATAGCGCTGCCGTAAATATGCGAATATAAAGGGTAACAAGGGGCACTTGAATGCATCGTGTGTCCTTTAAACCCCACTGAGCGTGAGCTGGCGCAGGAAAAATAACTATTAAGTCCAATGAATCGTGTCTATTTCTAGCACTGATTTGGCATGTTTCTTTTCGACTGCAAAAATAATCCGTGATTAATACTTAAAGGTCACTGTTGTATCTGACTGTGAATCGACCTAAACAAACACAATCTCCCGGCACATACAAGCCACATAACGCTGACAGCTACCGGCAAAACCCGACTTTCAAGTAAACCGCATTAAGTCGCTGCTTAGAAACTGTCCACATTTAACGTAAACGTTGAAATTGATATGGGAGTCAGTTTTTTTTAAAACCAACAACAACAACAAAACCCACAGACATTTGACCACGTTTATGATGGATGTGGGGAAGTAATTTGAATAACTAAAAACATTCACCGAACGCTGATAAATAGACATGTAAGGACTTAGTGGTGCTGCTGAGCTCAGGGTGATCTAACTTTTCTGTAGTTCTATCTCAGGCACTGGTGGCTTATTTAGATAGACATATATTTATATATATAAATAGACCCTCACATGGCACTTATAGTGCCAGGGAGAGCAATCAGACTGAAACATAAAGCCTGGGCCTATACCGGGCCTTCTCTTACACCAGGGGAAGTGTTTACCTGGAAAGGCAGTATGCTGTTGCTGTTGTCAGTCCTGAATGCGCCGTCCTCCATCCAGGGTTTGGGGCCGAGTGGACCGGGTCGTGGGAATTTTGGGGGTGCTATAACATTGCTGCTATAGGGCTTTTTCATTGGGGAGATTGGGTTCAGGGGTGACGGCACTCCGACGCCGACTCCAACCCCGACCCCTACCCCGACACCCACCGCTCTGCGTGGGTCCCTGCCCGGCTGCAGCCCGCTCCAGGGGTTCGAGGCTGTGCTCCACGCCGCGTTTTGGTGATTATTCCAAGCGGACGACGAAGGAGAAGACGACGACGAGGTCCCCTTGCTGTTATTCATGATGGTCTGATAAGCGTTTCTCTGTGGGAACGGCCCTTGGTTGGGGCTGACGGGGGATCTCCTCTGCTGGGGCTGCTGCTGCTGGGCTTGCTGCTGATGCTGTTGCGACTGGGGAGCCAGACCGATCTGCGGAGAGAAATTACCCCCGAATACCGGGTTGACGTGGTGGGGGAAGTTCTGGAAAAGCATCGTCCCGTTCACGGAGGGTATTCCCTGGAAAAAGCTATCGTCCACGGCATTTGTGGTTCCAGTGGACCAAGTGCTCCCAAACGATGACGGAGGGGAGGAAAGGGGGCCGCCGGTCTCCTGCGGCTGGTGGTGGAAGCTCAAGCCGGGTAGGATCGGCGACTCCATCGGCGCTTTGTCCTTGCTGCTGCTGCTCAGCGCTGAAGCCGCTTGGTTGTTCCCGGTCGACGGACTCTCCGACTCGGATGAAGAAGAAGCGGGCTCCGATGACGGGGTCGGGGTGGAGGGAGGAGGGTCTGCTTGTGTCGGATCTTGCTGATGGTGAGGCTGGGCTTTGTTTTTGTCCATCAGTAAATCATCCTGCATGGTTTGCTGAGCTGCAACAGGGGGGAAAAGATACGAGGAGTTATTATTATTATTGTTGTAACTCAGGAGCTCATGCACCGGGCTTGCCGGGCTTCTGTAGAATCTGATGAACTGGGACAACTCCGAGAAGGATATGATGTTAGAGGGACCAGCCAGCTGCAAAGCGAATGCGTGATCACCCATTTAGACGAAAAGAAGAAGAAGGAGAAGAAGACGAGGACGAGGAAAAAGCCCCACTTCCCAAGACCAGAATGATTCAGAAATCCCGCAAATTATACACGGAGCATAGTATGGCAGCAGATATTCACCAGATTTCGCCACGTCTCGTTTTTCCCTTCCACACAGGAACTCCGGAGCTGCAACGTGAAACTGATTCAGTGTGTGTGCCTGTGTGCGTGTTTTTGCCCAAGGACCTCCCCTATATTCATTTACATACGTCAGTAAATACAGCTGTCCTTCAACAAGGTTAAAGCCACTTCTACCTTGACCTACACACACACACGACCACAGAGGGTTTTTATTTTTAATTTATTTTTAAATAACACCCAAAAAGGCGCACACGGTCTTTTTTACGCATCAGAAATTAGGTGACGCACCTGAACCAATTGAATCGGTTGTCATAAAAAATACAATGTCTCTAGAATAAAAAAAACAAAGTGGATATACAATCATTTAATAAAGACGACGAAGTTTACTGAGCAAATACGATCATAAAGAAAATAATAGCTTCTGCTTTAGACTCCTAGAAGGGATTTAATAGAGCGCAAAGAGAGACTCTGCCCGAGGTCCGCATTGACACAGCCACGGGTTGGCATTTACATAGTACAATATGTACCTTGCATTTGCAGTCAATAACTTTTAAACTAGGGCTGGAATTTAACTGAAAGTCTACTCTGTCTAAAGTAAGAGGCTTTACCTTTCATGCAAAATTATCCCCTCTTTGCATTTGGAGACAACGCCTTGGAAAAGCCCAATTAACATACACGACCTGCACTATTATCCCGTCAGCAAATTTACATTTAGAATTACATTAAGTGCCAAACACGCCTGGTAATCTCAACAATGAGCAGGCAGGGCAAGCAGAAATGTCAAACACAGCAAGATACTCTGATCAGGGAAACGAAATTAAGCAGCTGAGTATATATTCTGCCAGCTGGAGCAAAAGGCACAACTATGAGATATGACACTTTGGTGTCAAATCATTGTCAGACTCATCTGGTCTGTTGATCGGAAACTGTCTCCAGAGAGCTAACATACAACCTACACACAGGCCTGTCAATAGTAGTCTCTAGACTGACATAACAGATCATTTCAGTGCTATAATGACAGCAACACAAGTAAGAATTTCATGTTTAATCGCAACAGCATTCGTTACAGATACACTCTCACCCACCCCACCAGTTAATCCGTGTTTTCTCCTCCAGGATCTCCCGATTCCAAGGTCATCAAAGAAGCACAATCAGCAGGCTGTACAGTGGCTCACCTCACCGGCTCTTTACCACACACACAAGGCAAAACCTGACCCTTCAGCTGCCTGTTTATCGCGCTGATCGAGGCACCCGATATACATTTCATCAAGCTGTCTTGTCTTGAAATCCCTCTGTATAATCCACATGCTCCCCCTCCCTCCACAAAAACGACAAAACAGCATGCACACACAGTCTGGTTTTCTCTTTGCCTAACATGAAGTTTGAATTTACCTTTATCGTTCACCTTTTGGGGACTCTGTAAATAAAGATATTTCTTGTTTGCCTCGTCTGGGTTTAGATATGACAAACGAGCTACCCTTGTGCCGAGGTAGTCAGCAGTTGCTTGAACAGCTGATTGACTGCGGCGCATGGACGCTGGTGAGTAGCCTGCTGGGAGTTGTAGTTTCAAACGATAAAGTGGCCGGTCAGCAAAGGTGTCTGTCTTTCTGTCTGTCAGTTCCATTGAATTTAGTGTAACTTATACTGTATACTTTTTTTAAACAGACATATTATAGGAAAACAAACGAGCACAAATGGTAGAAAAACATGTTTTAAAAATATGTTCTCACATTCACAGATTGTCTTCTAAATATGTATAATCAGTTCTCACGCAATCACATTGTGGATAAGGTTTCCTCTCTGAGATTATTGGACCGTATTTGTCACATTATTGCATTTGTCGTGGTTCACACTCGCATACACGCATGTGCGAACGGGAATAACTACATTCGCAGTGCGTACTAGTAATGGCTATACACCTCTAATAGTCTTTCTTGACAACTCTGGAGATGATTCAGAGCTTTTATTTGGGCATTCGGCGAAGAGATAAATAAAGCGAGAGGAGAGAGAGACATTGTGAAACTACATTTCCCATGCTCGACTTTGCGGCGCTTGCTTTGTTTTGATTACGTAGATGCGCGCCGACGTGGTGTCTTTGCGTTACCTCAGAGACAGCCTGTCAATGGAGTCAAACGGTCACGCCAAACGAGGCCGTGGCAGATGTAAAGAAGAATTTTGCCCGAAATAACCCATCGAACGCATATAAGTGTTACGTAGACTGCGGCGGAAGAGGAGGAATATTTTTTTGATTAAAAAAATACCGGTTCGTTTGCGGGTGTTGCACCGCATCTCGACGAAGGCCTATGTAGCTTGTTAGCATTAGTTCAACAGCTAACTTGCTAGCAGGTGCTTTTTGTTTTTTTGTGGGGTTTTTTCTACGTCGACTTTAGCTGCAACAAATTAACGAGAACTAAATTTTGAATGTTTTACCTGTAACGCAATTAATTTCCGCCAAGAAGACAACGTCTGAACCTTTTTGGCCTCTACGACAATGGCGGAACAGAACGCAGTTGGCATGCAGCAGAATTTGGACAGGTGAGTTCAAGTTTGGGGCTAGCATGCTAATGGCAGCCACATAGCTAAATTTCAAAACAAAACCGTCGTCAAGAAAAATTGGGGGATGGTGTTGTCAGAATACCGTCCCCCAATTTAGGCTTTAAGTGAGACACTATCATTTTTTAACAGGTTACGAACTTTCAACACAGCTCTGGATATCATTAAGTTTGTCTGGCCAGGGTATTTTTAGTTTACAAAGGAAGTCCTGGACTCCTAGCTCTGCCAATGAATTGGTGGATATTGTGTTAAGTAATCACTTTAACTTTCTATGGCCAGTTCTTTTGTGTTCTCAAACTGGATAAGGCCATGGAGAAATGTCCAAATATTTGGCTTATTAACTATTGACCCTTAGGCAGGACCCCGCGTCCAGTAAAATACCTGAAAATGTCACGTTCATAGTTCAGAACAAACCTGCTTATCTGTGTTACATCAGACACTGAATGTAATTTCTGTGGCAGCTGAAACGTTCATTAATTTCGAGGAGAATCTTTTCTTTAGTAAGATGTCTGAATAAAGTTTGTTTTTACGTACTTGTACAAAAGCGAAAATCAGATACAAGGTGCTCTAAAATGTTTGCGGTCAAGTAGAACAAAAGGAGAACACGTGAATGTAACTGAGGAGCAAGATCAGAACTCTACAAGTTCATGTACTATATACACTCATATATAAGAAAAGAATACAAAACACTTACATCATGGGGAATAATTTTATGTTGTACAATCAGTGTCAACAAAGGCAAATGTAATTGGAAGCAGATGAGAAGCTGTTTCTGTAGCCAGCAACAAAGCAAGTCTGCTTAAACATATTTTCATCAATGCTTTATCACCATGTTATAGCTGGGATATTTCACAACAGAAAGAAGAAGCTCAACCATGGTTTCTGTCAGGCAGCATTCTGGTCAAAAAGGGTCTCCTTTCACTTTCATCATGACAGAGAATAGAAGTTTATCAACAGGCCGAACCTCAGTGGCGTTATGGAGTGTAAAGCCACAGAATAGAAAGCTTTTAGTTCACTTGAAGCTGTATTAGGTCTACACTTGATCAAAGGTGCTTTTATTCTCTAGTATAGACACAGCTTCCCTATAGTTTGCCTTCAGATCCACACCTTGAAGGCATTTTCAATATTTGTGATCTGCCAAACTCCTGCAGCGACAAGTTAAATTCCTTTTCAGAAAAGAATTAATTAGCTTGTGTTCAACTTTCTTTTTGTTTAATCTTACTTTCAGCATTTCAAATTGCTTTTAGTCATTGCTTATAAAGGATGAACAGAAAAGATAACTTTACGTGGCAAAGTGTAATTCATAATGCAATTCTTAAAACAGAAGTTAAACAATTTCCCTGTCAAAGCAGCTATACTTTTGCTTTGCAAATACCTACCATATTGTAGTTTAAGTAATGAGGCTAAAGCTTAACTCACCTAACAGGTTTATATACTGTAAGGCTACCTTCACACTGCAGGTCTTAATGCTCAGTTCCGATTTTTTGATCAAATTTTTCGTCTGCTTGTTCACACTACAAATAAAATGTGGCAGCAAACGCGCTCTAGTGTGAACCCTCAAAGCGGCCCGCATGCGCAAAAGAAGACGTCACACATCGCGCTATGTTTAGACCCAGAGCAAACAGTATTGTTTGACTGATGGCCCTTAATATAAAGACTTGTTTTGGACTTTACGTTTCCCAATTTTGCTTTAAGTTATAAAATTATTTTGTTATTTACATATGGCCTAATAATTATCCTTATTGCTGTTTTAGAGAGAAGTGGTGCTTCAAAGGATAGCTGCAGATTTCTGTCAGAATCTGCAGATTATACAGTACAAATAAAATGTTCACGTTTCTCCAACATTGTCTTCCCAACAGTTTCACTAACATCTACGCTGGATGGCCAGGAAGCGTTCACGATGTCTTCTCCGGCGCTGATAATTGGCGTCTGTCTTGTGTCAGTGACGTAAAAGACGAATTCAATGCGACATGACCGTTCAAACAGCAGTCGCTTTCTAAAACATCAGATAGGTATCGGATTCAGTACCACATACGAAAGTGACCCAGGTCGGATTTGAAAATATCGGATTTGTGCTGATGATCGGATATGGGTCGCATAGGGTCAAAAAAGTCGGATTTGATGTGTTTTCGCCTGCAGTGTGAACATAGCCTAAGAGACATTTAATGAGACACAAAAGAAGTATAAATTTTGCACGTGTTTGGAGCATTGTGTTGCCGTGGGTTGATGTGATGTCGTGTAGGTTTGGCTCCTGCTGCCAGATAAACTTTCTCATTTGCAGTGATTTCTTACATCATCAAGTTTTTAGTTAAAAGCCCCTGCATATGTACAATAGGGAAAACTCAATTTTAGTTTACTGACTTGGTGGCCTTTATTCATACTGCACTCAATTCAACAATTCTAGTAAAAAGCATCAATTTAATCAGCTAAACAAACCTGAGTGGGTAGTTGGTGTCTCGCGGCCTTCAGTTAAATCATGTTTTCAGAGTTGTGATCTGATGTTTTGAAATACAAAGTAATCCAAGTCAGAGGTTTGGACGAGTGTTTTGTTGGGGTTACAAAATGTCTGTGAAAAAGGCCAAGTCATGCAAGTTATCATCTTACCTCTGTTTATATTGGCAATACACAAAAGTAAAGGACACAGACAAATCCTTGAGTGCTATATATTGTTAGTTGTGATAAAATCTTATCGTTCAAGAAAGGAGGGAGTTATGTTTTTAATTTGGACGTTGGTGAATCTTAAATATTACTAATCAGACTGCCTGTGGGGTTTTTTTTTTCAGTATGCAAAAACACAACAGGCGTTCATGGGTATGATTAACTTCTTTGTTTATGTCAAAGTGACATGACACCCTTTCCAAGTCTTCTCATGTTGCATGTGTGACCTGAATCTTTGTTTGTTGGGGGTGAGGTGATGTGTGCCATTTCCTTTAAAATAGTGTATGCTGTCTGTAAAAGACTTGGCACACAAGTAACGCAGCAATATTGAGTCAATATTGAACATTGGACTTTGAAATCATTTCCCAGGCACATAGTACAATGGCAGAAAAGAAAGGAAGGGCCCATGATCATTGTGAAACGTGCTTTAGCTGCGTGCTGCTGGTGCGTAGCAGAGGCAATAACCCGTGCAATGTTTGAGTAGCCAAAGGCAGGAAGATGTATGTCATGTCTGCTTACTCCTAGACAGTTGTGTACCCAGCCTCTATCACTGACAAACATGAGGCTCCAGAGGCTCTTATCTGGACCTGCCACAAACAGCCAGCTCCCTCTGCAATGCAGTGTTTCACAAATGGAAGTAGGAAGCACATTTTAATCCAGCCTTACCTTTTTTATTTTATTTATTTATACAGAACCTACATGTTTTATTCTTTTCTTGCTGACCCCATTGATGTTTGCGTGAATGGGTCGATAAATATGTGCTGTGCGTGCGCTAAGAACAACTGACCTTACAGTCATGATTTTGCAGTTTTAATATGGAACATTGTCAGCTTCTGCAGGCTCTTTTTCGACCTTATCAAACGGTTGAGTGATGATTTGATATTTTTTCTTTTTAATGGAAAACAACTGCAGAGACTTGGTTATTTTGCTTGCATGGAGTAGATTAATGACATGTTCCAAGAAACAAATCAGTGGCTGGTCAGCATGTCTTTCCTTGGTAACCCACAGTTTGCATAAATAAGCCTTATTAGCCAGCATTAATGCCAGTGGAAGCTCATGCCACATTTTAAGATAGCTGGTTTAGATAACAGGCTTGAGTTATTTAAATCACAAACTAACGAGAATATCCTGTATATGTTGTTTGCCCCAAATCAATGCTTTCTCAGTGCTGTTTGAGCCTTCATAGCTTTTTATGTACCATCAAAAATTACATTTAAACATTGAATCTGTGGCACGTCACTGCAAAAGGTTTTTATTAATAAAGTGGAGTAATTCACCACTTGGCTTTTTGTGTGTGTTAACTTTGGACACTAGCCACTCAAAGGCTATTTAAAGCATCCTTTTACTTTGTCGTACACCACAGATCACAGCGCTTTGTGGCGATACTAAAAGCACATGCATTTTTTTCCTTAGGTAGTGCCCTCATGTTGTAATAGTTTCCTTGTTTGATATTTCATTGAACTGAACTTTACTTAAATTTGAGATTCTGCTGTGTTTCACGTCAGACTCTTACACACTGGATATTAATATAAATAAGGCCCAGACTAATAAAATAGCTGTAATGATTAAAATGTTTTTCCAGAGACTGTCATTGAAGTGTTGATTGGTATTGGTATTTTTAGAAGCTGAAGTTGCTACATTCAGTTGCACAATATTGAAAGGAGGACACTGTGTTATGTTATCAGACTTGTTTATTAAAGACCCATCACTCTAAAACCATGGAGACTTTTAGAGTCATTATTCCAGCTAATGACTTGTTTAACCCTCTGGCGTCCGGGGTTTAATTGGCTGTTTTTCACTAATTTTGATAGTACATTTATATTTCACCTTTAAAAGTATTTACCCTGCCTTGTTTGATATTATTCTTTTCAGCACAACCTTACATGTCTGAAGTTACCCTTATGTTTTTTTCATTTTGGTATACTGCATTAACACAGTTGATCTAAAATCCCAAAGAACTCAACCACAAACATGTTTAACATATCGTTTTCATAACTTGGAATGCAAATATAAATTTAAAAGATAAATTTAAGAGCACATGAAAGGCCTAAAGCCTGAAGACCTGACAACACACCTCGTGTTTTTCCTCCTGGAAACAGTGTTTACATTGCGATTTGCCTTTGGTGGCTTTTTGGCTGGAAACAGTAGTGCCCTCATTGTTTTGACACTCAAACAACCGCAATACACTAAATACACAAGACAACAAAACACACCAGCAATATTCCAAACACACTAAACGTCACAAATCTCTCTCGTCTTAAAAATTCCTATCCAAATCCCTCACTCTCTCACTCGCTCTCTCACTGCCATCACTCTTCCTAAAC